CTAGAAATGTGTATGTGTGTGTGTTAGGGAATAGTCACCACTCTATCAGTGAACAGTAACTAGGTGTGTTTGTAATAGAATCGTCACCACTCAGTCAATCAACAGTAATTAGGCATGCTTGTTATACTATGCCTTTTTTTTTAGTGATGTAGTCAACCCTTAAAAATTAAAAGACTTCAGACTGTTATTATGTTCTGGTTCTTCAACTATTTATTTTTACTTAGCACAGCAATTTCATTTAATACCCAGTTTTTTTAACATACTGACCTCACGGATGGTTTGTGAATTATCTACTCCTGGGTGATCTGGTGGCCGAAACTTGTTAGAATGTGACTGAATGTACTCTTCATAATTCTGTATTTTTGCCGATTTCATATAGTTTGTCCAATTACCATAGAGATATCGAAGTTTTTTACCCCTAAAGATGACAGATGTTTAAAACAAAAACACCTATATATATATAACTTATAATTAATTAGATACCTTATAATTTGAAATACTAGAAATATGTTATGTGGTATTCTACTCTTATTGAATAATAATGTAAATCAAGGCAAGACTATCTAAGATATTCAAGAGAGAGAGAAATAGAAGAAAACAAGCTCTGATTCCTAGATATGATGGTCACCAAGACACAAATAATACGTCATACGAGTTTAGAAGAAACCCAAAAAGGCTGGGTAAGTACTTCAGCTAAATTCACCTCAATAAAATTTCCTGAACCATTGTTGACACGAACATTCAAAACATTTCCATAACTTCCTTGTGGTTACAGAGACGTTATTTCCCTTCTTGTATTCAAACAGCATTACATGCCGAACGTGTGTCTCGTCATGTGTCATCACTATAAGGGATTAGAGTATACTAAACTTTACACATTATATAGGCTACACTAACATGACGTTTAGGCGGTTCATGATGTACATTTTTTGTGGGATGGTTAATGAAATCGTTCCAAAATGAGACATTAATTTCTTGACGACCTAATATTTGCATCATGTTAAAGAAAACAATATAGTGAAATGGAACAATAATAAATAAACCACATTAGAGAAAAAATAAAAGAAGACTTCTAACATCCAATTTACAGAAAACACATTCGGTTAACCTAGCATAAGAGTCTGCAAAACTCGGAAAATCCTCTTGGAAAAATTCAAACAGTTAATTGATATAAGTCCTATCAGAGGTGAAAGCCTGAACAGTTGATAGCACATCTGTCTTTAAAAAAAAAGCCCCAGGATTGAAACCCTATTCCTTCCACAAGGTATTTTTCAGGACTTCCTTGAAGATGGTGGCAGATTAACAACCAAAACATGGGATGTAAACTAATTTACAATTTATGATCATATAGGCTACTACCCATTACAAAGACCAAAAAACACCTTCAGAAACTTAAACTAAGTGTAATAAAATGTTCTGCACCAACTGTAATAACAGACATTGCTAAACATACAGAAACATCCAATATAACTGATTATTTCACATAGTTTGGAACAAAAAAGCTAATTTGCCTATGACATACCATATGCACCCAGAATCCTTTTTATATAGGTTTAAAATAGCTTTGCATTTCTATAGGCCCTTGCCTTAGTTTAGTGGTTTATACTATTATCTCTTTTTAATTAGACCTTTAAGTGAGAACAACAGAAGTTCAGATTGTATGGTTATTTAAGTCTTAAAAGTTTTGAATACAATACTTAAGGTATTTTTAACAGTAAACATGAAATCAAGAAAAGTCATTTCCTGACGACAAACTTACGAATTTCTTTCCCTTTACTAATTCATGTCTACAAAAAGAAAACATATGTTGTTTGGCCCTAATTATAGCTATGACATTTGAGAATTTTTCTTACAAAACCACATTTTGAAATAAAATTCACATACAAGAACTAAAAATATGTACAAATTGTTCTTCATATTTTTTATATTACTTACAACATAGGTTAATATATAGTAACCTAACTTGGGTACTACAAATTATTATTCAGTTTGCTAAAGTTAAATTTACAAATTTCTCGTGAGGGGAATAGATTTTAATATCCTTTACTATGAAGAAAATAAAAAATTGTATAGGAAAATTTTTAACATACTATTCACTAAAAAATAAACATCCTATATTTTATTGTGTAAAAGCATCAATCTTACTCTTTGCTATAGACAAAACCCTCTATTCTGAAGAGATCTTTCTTGAACCAACCAGCTTGTTTAAAATTGATGACAGCTGTCAAGCCTGTGGTATGACCAACCAATTCCATTGCTCCATACTGTTACAAACAGAGAAAATTCTACAAAAGAATGAAACTTTATCTTCATGTTTTATTAGAACTCATTTGAATCGTTTCTTTGACCATTTTATGCCAAAGCCAAAAACAAAAAATCTTCAAATCTATTTCTTTTGTTATTTTTATCAATTGTTTAAACTTATAATTGTTTCAAATATATTTGATCTGCCTTTTTAAGTTATATCTAATTAATAATAGAAAATGATTACCTGTTCTATCCACAGTTTCCCAACAATGATGTTGTGTACACAGCAATTGACATTACTCCATGTGTAGACTTCTTTATGTCTATAAACAATAGAGATGGGAAATAAACTTACAAAAACCTTAATATAATTATCATTATTTATTCATAGATAAATATCATAATTAATATAGATTCATACTTCTTTTGTATCATTCATGTGTCCATAATGTTACAAAAGTTTAGAATATACTTTAAATAAATATAAAAGTTCTGTATGTTACTGACACTGACCTAGAAATTTACTCCTGAGAAGTACACTTACAATAAAAAACACTACCAAATATAAGAATTCTTTATTTCCAAATTAAAATCAATTGAAATCAGTAAGCTGTCAAATGACATGGTAATTGTAAGTCTTGATGAAATAAAACAACAACTAAGTGACTTACCTTGTAGAAAAAAAGTTAAAAATATCCAGTAATTACTGCAGTACACCACAGTATCAATCTTGTGAAAGCAAACACTATTGAGACATACCTTTTAACAGTCCCTAATGATTTGTTCAAGAAAAAAATGTCTTTAATATACTTATAATTGTGTCATTAGTTATGAAAACATTAAATGAAAGTGCACAGGGTTGGTTCAATCCCATATCAGAGAAAGAATATTGACTATAATTCTCAATTTTCTATGTATATCTAGACAAGAAGTGGCAAGCTTTTACTAAAATGTACACAAAAAATTGTATGTGTTACAAAAGTATTTATACTCCAGATATGTCTGTGAATTGAAGGTGTCTTTCTGACTCAAACACTGACAAATTGTAGTGTAAGATGATGTTCATTTGCACATTGTACAGCTTACTTATTGCATTTGGATAAGCTCTAGAACCTCTGAAATGCATATCTCCAATTTTTTTTAGGTATATCTGTATATTTATCTGGTCTTTACTCTCCTCTACCACAAACTATCACTAAATCAGCAATGTAGGGTCATACAAGTATGCAGTTGATAACTCTGACAGTGAGTACTTAATACCATATTGAATGGCACTCTATAAAAGACTATGGAATGCACACTTTGACCCCACACCCAAGCACATAGGGTTCATAAACTTATATTCCTTGTTTAATTTCATACAAATTCCACATTGTAATTATAACCATCATTCTCTTTCTTCAAGCTAATCCTGCAGGTTAAAATCAAAGTTGAAATGGAAAATATATCATTTCTGATGAGGTCATAATCATAGTTGTATAATAAACCATTCAACTACCTTTTCATTCACACAAATATCCGATTTTCCTTACATTTATTAACTCAAAACCAAACATATATTCATACTGAGAACATTCTGTAATGATTTTTTCATAGCGATTAACCTAGAAGTACATAATGGTACTTACCAAAAGTTGATAAACCCTGTCAAAAATAAGTATTTTTTACTGAACTTGGTCTACCCTTAAATCCACTTCTCAGTTCCTTAAGGAAAAGTAAGCCAGCAAATAAGAACTACTCATTGATATTGTCCTTTCGGTCAATAGTTTCCTACTGTAATTTCATAACTTCTACCACCCTTTTCTAAGTAATGTTGCAAAATAAATCACACTTTTTTCTCCGAAGTAATGACGAACTTGGTAGGACCACGAATATCATCACTCATGAGAAAACGCCATTTTAACGTATTTTTGGGTGGTTGACTCTTCGAATTTCATTTTTTGCGAAAACATTTGAATCATGGTGCTTACTAGAACTCAGGTTCGTGTCACATGTGCTGCCTTCAGCATGGCTCAGAAACTAGTCGCAGACATGCTCCGAGAATTCAAGTCTTCCAAACGACACATCGCAATGGCAGATTTGAAAAATCTAATTAATGCCTCAAAAGTTTCAGAATTTGTTGAATTTGAAAGAGTAGTCTGTGAAAAAGTGGTGGAATGCGGATTGGGAACTCTTTAGATTTAAATCCCGCCGAAAATGTCGGAGCTTTCGTTCAACAGTGCACAGAAGAAATGTTAGAAACTTTGCCAGAATGCAAGAGACACAAACGTGAAAGCTTGATTCGTGTTCTCACTGATGTGCTCACAGAGACAGCCACAAAAACAGACATGTTTGTTGCATTGCTGAAATATTTTGCAAATCGATTAAAACACATGCGTGAGAACAAAGGTGGCCCGATCAAGCGATATTGATACTTGGAACTACTTTTTTGATTGAATTAAAATCTTATTTTACGTTGTTATGCTCTTGGGGGGAAAAAGTGAGATTTATTTTGCAACACCCCCTAGTTCATCATAGTAAATATATGTGCTAAAAAGAAGTAATGCATTTTAAAATCGTGTTATTTATTGAAACTAGAAGATTCACATGTTATAGTGCTACTATTCTTAATCAGGTTAAGAAAAATTTATTCTACTAAATAATGATCATTATTTTATTGTTAATTTTCAAACACTAATACTTATAAGTAGCTATAGTGTGATGTAGTTAGTTTGAGATTTGTTTTTATTTAATTCTTGGCATTATGAAACTTTTAATTTTTAGTGTGAGGTATGGCCACTGGCATAAAGATAAGAACACACCAAATGTGAAGAATGTCCCACGTGTAATTGTTTATATCATTGGAGGCGTCACTTATTCCGAGATCCGCTGTGCATATGAAGTAACAAAAGAGCTGAAAAACTGGGAAGTCATGATTGGTGGGTGTTAAGAGTAATGCTTGTCATATCTAGAATTAGAAATGTTTTACTAAAACAAACAAGTGAAATAGAACTACATATCTCTGACATTTGTAAAGAAGAAGAACAGAAACCTCAAAAATTGAAGTTTTTAAAGATGACTAATATATTTAAAGTGTAATGAGTTATTAAAAGAATATCAAAGAAACTAAACTATTTTATGCTGAAAAATATAGAGTATGACATCCTTTCTTTGAATAATCATCTAAACATATTTCAGGATCTGACCACATCCTTATACCTGAAGGATTTCTCAGCGACCTTCGGGATCTCAGTAGCTAACAACATAAGAGTTGTCACTGGACCGGAAAACAAAAGCTACTTCTAACTGCTAAATCTATAGATTCTAAGATGTACGCTTAGAATTGTCAACTGTTTTTGTTTAGAATTGATGTTTACTTGATTCTTTCTAGAGAATATTTATTGTTTTGTAAAGACAAAAATTCTTAGAAAAAAAAATTGACTTATCGACTAATTTGTTGTTATACTGTTGTGCTAATGTGCACGTATGATAGTCCTTGTTAAACAATATTACACACATATACAAATATATAATCCTAGGATAAATCATTTTCACCTCTAGCATACAAAATTAGCATAGTGCGCTTAAAGTATTTGTGTATAGGAATATAGATTAATAATTATATCACTAATATATTTATGTGTGACCTTTCATTAGGAATAATAAAACGTTATATCAAAGTACACTGTTTGATTAGAAGTGTTATAAAAATCTGAAAAGCATTTCTTTTTTTAGATCTGTAATTTGTTTTATTAGATTGATTATTACTTTAATTCCTTATGTCTGACTGAAAAAAAAAGTCAGAATTTTTATAATTTTAAAGAGGCATACTTTTCTATCAATTTTAGAAATGCTAAAATCAATTTAGCACACATTTTTCAAGCTGAAATATATTTGTATAAAATTTGGCACTTCTGGCATTTGGTGAATTCAAGTTAAAAATAGTTACAAAAAGCTAATAAGAAACATCGTTCCTCAGACTTAATTAACCTCAAAATTTGTAGTTGAAAGTGGTGGCTACAATAATTGTCAAAAATAAGTATTAAAATTTTTTTTAAATAAATATCAATCAATATGAAACTAACTGGATATATAAATTGGAAATTTCATATCAGTAATAAAAAAGTTTAAATCCTAAAATGAAAGGAAGTATTTTGTGTTTTTCAAAACTGTCTCTCCCAACAAAATTTTAGGAATTTCTTAGTGTAAAACATTATAGCATAAGTTAATAAAATTATATGGTTTAAGTTAAAACTGGAAACTATTTAGTAAATTCCTACAATGTTTCATTCGGTTTGGTTAAATATTTCTATAGTGAGAAGGAAAAAAAAAAATTGAGGATGTTAATGACACCCTACTGGTCCAGAAGTGATTAATGAAAGCTTGTATGAGTTTATAGGGTCTGCATATTTTAATGTTATAAAACTGGTATCTCTCTTGCTTTTTCTGGAGAGAGAAATGTTTCTTATACTCCAAAAAAAACAACAACACAGGTTTACTCAAAACTAAAGTTTTTGTGGACCAGTACAGCTTAGCATTTCATCAAAGTGTTAATTAGATTTGGAATAAAGTCTAGCACAGGTAAAAATTTAAATGTTTTAAAGTTCTATTTCCCTGTATCAAAATATAATTCCAAGGTGATGAATGTTTGTACAGAACTTGATAGTAAGAAATTATATTATAAATGTCATTAAATGACTATGACTTAAAGGTTTAAAAAATGTTCTATTTTGTCTGTGTAAGAATTAATTTTTTATCTACTTCCACAAATTTTATCACAATATGTATTTATTTATATAATACATAGCTTTTTCTTGAGCTTTATTGCTAAGCTTTGTTTCGTTTCAAATACATTGATTCTGTGAACATTTTTATCTGTAACCTAAATTGACAAAATTTATTTTGAGAGCTATTGCACAAACATTTTTTATGTTATAGAGTTGTTATTTGATCTGTAAATTGTGTTTAACTCCTCCCCCTGCCATGGGTACATAATGTGTCCTCCTCTAGAGCAGCATTTCTCAATCTTTTTGATGCTAGGGACTGGCTCGCTATGTCCCTAAACTATTGTGGATCAAGTACAACGAAAATTCCACGGACTGTCACTGGTCCTTGGACTGATGGCTGAGAAACACTTTTCTACAGCACCACTGTGTGAGTTTGGAAGTTTATTTGTTTCACCACAAAGAAGAAAGGGTAAATATGAAAACAATTAAAACAGCACAAATATTTAAAAAAAAACAGTGATGTCCACTCTATAGGTTATTGTTGTCATATGCAAATAAAGAGAAACATTTAATGATTTCATAATGTCCTTTACAAGTATAAGATAGCTTTGGAGGTATTAAATTTAGAAGTGACGTATTTTGGTGGTCTAAATGCTGTTTATGAAATTGGTACATAGAACTCTGCAATATTCTTATGGTACGTTTTCTTGTTTGGAATTCTCGCTAGCGAATAAAAACTAGTAGTGACAACATTTTTACTTGTAAGAGCAAACATTGCTATAAATTTTGGTGTTATTTTTCTATGATTCTGTAATTTTTTTTTAATTTCTTGTGAGTTTTAAGTGATTTCTCAAACATGGTTTCATCTGTGGCGGGCTGGATTATAAAATCTGAACAGTTCTTCAACAAAACGGATATTTATCTACCAAGAATGATTCATTCCAAACTAAACAAATTTTCTTATAGTTGTTTGAATTTTGTTTTCATTTTGATGTATTTTGTTTTACATATTTTCTGTGATTTCTATAGCCAAATTCAGTAAAGAAAGCTAAAAAATATTAAAGTAAAATTCAAGACTTGGAGACTTTGTCAGCAACATTGTGGCTTGATAGAACAACAAAGTATATCACTAGGTGGAAGTTGATTTTTTTTTTTTTTTTAAATGCAGGTAAAGTAATGTTACATAAGAGATTTTACTTTATGTGATTGTAAATTATATGTTTTGAAATAAAATGTTATCCCTAGTAAACTGCAGTAAATTAATATGAACAGACTGTATCATTATTACAATGAGTAAAGTTCTAATGTTTTGAAATAGCAAACTGTGCAGGGTTTACAAAAATTGTTCACTTGTGTTTCAGTACTTAATGTAACTTTTGAACACCCTTCCTACCTTTCTTTGGATTACTTAGATGATCGAGAACCTACATAGTTGCTTGAACAAAGTAGTCCCACGTATTTTATATAATTTTACAACTGAACTTGTTTAGTAATGAAATATTTTGGTATATGAGTGTAGTTTATATTAGTTCTATTGTTGTATATTTAGTTAAAATGTTTAGTTTGGTTTCGTATTAATGAAACTTGAGTAAAAGATATATGTACACATCTTGTTTAAAAAAAAGGCAAAAGACGAGGATGTCAAATATGTAGTTAAAAGTATATGGTACACCATGAGTGGCTAGAGCCACCTAGGAATAGCCTGGCCTGGTGCTGTTATGTGTCATTTGATATGGGAACACCCAGTTTTCTCTGGCAGTCTTCTAAGTTTAATGGTAAACAGTGGACTTTGTTTTGTCGGAGATCTAGCCGAAGTACATTATCATTAATTATAGTCCATGATTGTGTAGCTCTCCCAACATGGTATCGTTGCTCCTAGTACCACATTCCAGCATAACTGTGTGTTGTGGAACATTCTCTTCATCTGCTCTAAAAAAGCAGCAAAGTAAAGTTATGGTAGTTTTGATTTTTTTGTTGTTTTGTTTTCTATTATGTACCTTCTACTAAATTGGTAAAGTTGTGTACATTACCAGAGCTATAACAGAATAAATAATTTTTTTAAAAGTTAACTTTAGTATTATCATTTAGAATAAAAATATCTTTGCTCAGGATCAGTTATAAATTAAACAGCTGAGGAAATGCAAGGTTGTTCAAAAAAGTGTTGGACTGTAAAACATATATATATATATATATATATAGAAGAAATATATATGACAACATTATATTTCTAAATATCACATTGTAAACACAAACATAAATGAGGATAGAATATTTCAGTACGCACAGACAATAAGAGGTAACGGTATGTCACAATTTTTTTAAGTTATTACTATGGATATTTGTCACAAGTTAGTTGAAGTTTTCAAAATGTCCTCCATCTGCACTTGATTCAGTGGGCAAGTGTGATGCATCAGAGTCCTGTTAGTTTCACTTAACTTGATGTTTTAGTCATAATTCATCAAGTTCTTTTAACTTATTATTTGTGATTGTTCTATTATCTGTTTTTCTGTTAAATGCATACATAATAAAAAAGACGTAATTAAAAGAAAAACTAATCAGTTATACAAATTTAGTGTACTGATACCTTAGAACAGGCCTCGACAAATATTTTCAGATCTAACAGTCAGACCAAAAACTTGGGAGCCAGCTCCGATATAGAAAAGTTATGGAATATATTTTGAGTCAGTTGTGTAATTATGGTACGAAACATACAGTTTTACACTAAAAAACAAAGGGTTCATTATTAAACTTTATCCTATGACACATATTAATATTAAACTTCAATATGTGCAATTATTAAAATAGTAGACTAAATAACTATAACTTAGGTGGATTCTTACAGTGAATGAAAGTAAAAATAATCGCTGCAATATTGATAGGCCAAGCAGGTTGTTTCAGAATAGGTCTAATCTACTCATCACTACAACACTGTACAACGATAAGCAAAGGCCTTTTGGTGTGCCTAACCAACTTCACTACTATTTGTGCCAGGAAATATGGACTATATTTATTTACTTTCACAGCAACGAGTGCATGCTAACGATCACACGAAATCAACAAACACTTGATAGTATTGCCTGAACTAACTGCCTTTGGTCCCGTTTGAGTCTAAACACGTGTAGTGTTTGGTTGAATTAAGAGAAAGAAGAAAAACAAAATGACGTGAAATTAATAACGTGTTGTGCAACCGCAGTGCTTTATACCTGATAAAACATGAAGTGTTGAATCCACCATTAAAATCCTAGAACCAAAGTTTGATTTAGGACTCAAAGAACACGAAAATAGTTCCGGACTTCCAAGAGTCCAGAACTATTCTAAATTCGAGTTCTATTTAGCACATCCATACGCACGAATAAAGGAGAAAATACCAGGCGCCACGATGACATTTTTAGTTGCCATGGCAGCCGGATTTCTCGAGGCCTGCTTTAGAATGTTAAAAGTTACAAAAAAAATTATGTAAACTACTGGGGATTTAACAAAAATGTTCCGTTTATAAATTAGTTTCCAGAAGTCTTGAGCAGTTGGTATCAAACAACACTACATTTTCCATCAGTGGGTAATCAAGGGAGCACATAGAGCTTTTGTCAGCATTGCAACCTTTGTGATCACATCTTGAAATATTTTACAAAGATCTTCATTCTCGGTGAACGTTTGCTTCTAATGCTACACTGAACCAGGCCAAATGTCCATTGGATATGCATTGGGGGACTCAACAGATGCATGGTCAAAATATATAGTTGGTATTCAAGTTTCTTCGAACACTTGTAAATTTTTAGGGAGTGCTAACAAATCCACTTCAAAATCTTTACAGTGTAATATGGAAAATGTAATTACTCAATTTAGTAACGTTTATGCTTGTAAATTTTATAAAGGATAAACTTAGAAATTGTATATAGTAAAATAAACAATTTCATCACGATTTGACCCGATGATTAAGAGCACTCAACTTGAATCCGTGGGTCGCAGGTTTGAATCCCGTCACCAGACACATTCACTATTTCAGACTTATGGGGGAATTATAACGTGACAATTATTTCACTCTTCGTATTTATGTAGCTTTAAATTTTCATTACTGCCACCATAATCGTGTTCAATACGAGATTTCATTAGACCAGTTTGGCTGCAGTGTAGAAATAGGGTTAAGTTTTTTTTTACGTTTCATCGTACTTGCTACTCTGAAAAAATTAATCTTAATCAGTTTGTTACAAAATCCCCCCCCCCCCAGGAATCCAACTGAATTTCTTTGATTCTTTTCCATTCCAAGAAATATGTCAATTGTAGAATATTAAAGTATTGTTGCGTCATCGAGGTCACGTGACGCTAGTAACACGTCATATTCTCGAAGCTTCGTGAATTCTCGGGAGGTTACTAGACTTCGGTATTCTTTTATATATAAGACGGTCAAGACGTGACGGCAAGAATGTAATGTTTGTGTAGACAGTGAGTAATTGATCTGCAGTCAGAAGTATTATTGAGCACGTTCGTC